GTAAAATGAGTTAGAATAGGATGCATGTGGTTATTTTACATTTCCTGAGGAAAAGACTGTGGGCAAAACCTCCCACTTCATCGCAGGCGAGCCTCCGGTTTTCTGCAGCATTTTAGACGAAACCTCGTGACAAAGAAAGCAGAAAGGCGTTGTTTGGTTTTCATTTATTAGTTCGTAGTCTCGCTCTATCCCGAAAAAGCCTTGCTCAGAGTACGGCTCTGATATGAATATTTATCTCTCGAGTAATTTATTTTACGATAGAGTTTCGCTGTCAGACACCACTCAAGCCGAACAAACAGAGTAGGTTCAACTGAATTCATGATCTAAATGGCTTTTAATCAGTAATCTTGAATCATACACTAAAACCTTTTTGCATCGTCCAAGTAATTTCTTTGGCAACGGTATCGTACTCATTCGCATATTTAAATTCAGTGCCGAATACCAGAGAGGGACCACAATTTTCAACGCTGCATTCATTAGATTTCTTACTTCTTTTGCTACTGCTAGGTGTTTTTGATCCAACTGAGCTTATCAATGGAATTCGCCAGCTGTACAAGACTCGCGAGGGATGGCTCTCACCATTTCCATGGTGTGACGAGTTTCAGTTTTTCTTGGCAATATTTTTACAAGGCTCAAAGTGGTCAGAAGAAAGAAAACGAGAGGAGAAATCACTGACGTATTTGTTGACATGTCGTCAATACTAGACCCGTACGAAGAGTGTTCAGCGCCGAGAACAGTGTTGATTGAAGGAGAACCTGGTATGGGAAAAACCACCTATTGTAAAAAGTACGCCTACGACTGGGCCACCAATCAGCAAGAACCTCAGGGCTGCGGCTCAACAGTATTTAAAGTGGTATTGTTACTGAAATGTCGAGATATCCATTCTGACGTTTGGGAAGCTATTGATGATCAGCTTCTGCCCCGAGACATCGATGAAGAAGTCAAACAACAATTCTTTCGTTTTATTCGTGAAAATCAGTCCAGCATTTTATTGATATTGGATGGATTGGATGAGTTACCGTCCAGTAAATTGTCGATGTTTTCCGAATTAATTGAAGGAAGAGTACTCCCCAAATGCCACATAGTTGCAACAGCAAGACACGAAGCTGGAAAAGAGGTGAGAAAATGTTGTGACGCGCTGCTTCAGATCGAAGGATTTACTGAAGAGCATGTGAAAGGATTTGTCACCAAGTACTTTAAAGAAAGGACGGATTTAGCCACCAAGCTCTCGCAACGGATGTCGCGAGATAAAAACCTGAGAGAAATAGCGGCCAATCCTCTAAACACAGCACTTCTTTGCCTTTTATGCGAAGAGTTTGAGGGCACACTCCCCGAAAGCAGAGCTCAACTGTACTTGGATATGGTTGAATGTGTTTTGAGAAGATATAAAAAAAGGAAGGGACTACTAGAAAAGATCGAAGACTTGACAAACCATTACAAACCGCAATTGAATCACCTTGGAAAGGTAGCGTTGAATGGTTTACTTGACGATAAGTTGGATTTTAATGAAAGTGAATTGAGAAACCATGCAAAAGACCTGACTGAATTTGGATTTCTGTCAGTGCAGCCTGGTGGCAGCAAACTGAGACAAACACTGCATTATGCCTTCTTACATAAAAGTTTTCAAGAATTCTTTGCAGCATTCTTCATTTGTTCTCAGATTCAAAGCAAGGAGAAAAAACCTGAAGAACTAGTTTCCGATCCAAGGTATTTCGTTGAACTTAAACAAATACTTTTGTTTTCATGTGGAATTTTGGCCATGAAATGCGATGAACAGGTTGTGGCTCTTGTAAAGAGTTTAACAAATAAAGTCAACAAAAATAAAGGCCGTGGTGCAAAAATTGTATTGGAGGCCATCAACGAATGCAAAAGAGAAAAAAGTGATTTTCACTCGCATTTATCGAAGTCGTTTGGAACTGGTTTGAATCTTACCAATTTGGATTTGTCTAATAATGGTATTAGTGATGCGGGTGCTACATGTATTGCTGAGGCAATCAAAGTGAACAAGACGCTAACCAATTTGTATTTGCGAGGTAATGTTATTAGTGATGCGGGTGCTACATGTATTGCTGAGGCAATCAAAGTGAACAAGACGCTAACCAATTTGGATATGTCTTACAATGATATTAGTGCTGCGGGTGCTACATGTATTGCTGAGGCAATCAAAGTGAACAAGACGCTAACCAATTTGGATATGTCTTACAATGATATTAGTGCTGCGGGTGCTACATGTATTGCTGAGGCAATCAAAGTGAACAAGACGCTAACAAATTTGGATTTGCGAGGTAATGTTATTAGAGCTGCGGGTGCTACATGTATTGCTGAGGCAATCAAAGTGAACAAGAAGCTAACAAATTTGGATTTGCGAGGTAATGGTATTAGTGCTACGGGTGCTACATGTATTGCTGAGGCAATCAAAGTGAACAAGACGCTAACCAATTTGGATTTGTCTGACAATTTTATTTGGGATGCGGGTGCTACATGTATTGCTGAGGCAATCAAAGTGAACAAGACGCTAACCAATTTGGATTTGTCTGACAATTTTATTTGGGATGCGGGTGCTACATGTATTGCCGAGGCAATCAAAGTGAACAAGACGCTAACCAATTTGGATTTGCGAGGATATGGTATTAGTGCTGCGTGTGCTACATGTATTGCTGGGGTAATCAAAGTCAACAAGACGCTAACTTAAACAACTTTGAAGTAAAAGGGCACTGCCTTTAAAGTAGGCAGGTTCCCTTGAAAATTGAGGGCCGAAGGCCCGAACCTCTAGGGGGGTCCGGGGGCATGCTCCCCCGGGAAATTTTTTAAAAGATAAGTCTCCCAGAAACGCATTTTCCTGCAATCTGGAAAAGAAATCTTGTTGCAATGATGCATACTTAATCTATCATAATAAAAAGGAATGGTACTCTGGGAGAATTTGTTTATTTCACTGTTGTTTTCGGAGCCTCTTTTTATCCTACAGTTACAAGTTAAAGGCCCATTTTCAACCTTGATGCAATGCCTTTCAACCTTGACGCGACCCAATTTCCTGTAACACGGAATTCCCAAATCACTAAAAACCTTCTAAAATCGTCTTTCTCAAGAGCCATCCTGAACACGCTTGGATCTCTTCGTACTCTATAAAGAGTCGGCGAAAAGGACAATATTCAAATTTTTTCACTTTTTAGAAGCGCTTGAGGATTCAAAATGAAGACAAAATACTTCCAATAGAAACTGGTATTTTCCAAAGAGAAATATGGAAAAATATCAGACTGCCGGACGTCTAGTTATTTTAAAGACCATGTCCGGTAGTGTCTGGTGAAAATTTTCTTAGTGTCACGCTTGGATCTCTTCGTACTCTGTGTACAAGGTCAGCGAAACGGAGAACGTTGGGATTTTTTCACTTTTTAGAAGCTCTTGAGGATTGTAAATGAAGGTAGAACATTTTCCGATGAAAAATTAATATATTTCAAAGAGAAATATGGAGTTGTTTGAGGACCGTGTCCAGCCGTATCAAGCGCTTGGATGGCTTCGTACTCTGTGCAAAATGCAGACTACGGACCGCAGACCGGGTACAAAATGCAGACAGAATTTGTACTGTTTTTTCGTCTGATACGTGATAACATGGCATCTTACAACTTACCGAGCGTCACGCAAGTGCTTTTCCTCGATCATCTTTGACGATTATTTGCACCATTGTGGAATATTCCTTGCCTGTCTCTTAATCACAATCGTTCTTAACTTTTTTTAAGCCTCGTTTAGTATTCTCATTTTCCGCGCGAGTTGGTTGGCGTGATGTCTGTGCAGAAGTTACCAACTTACTAAAAGTAGATGTGGATGTAAATGGATGCCACTATTGAATATTTAACCTGCGCAATATTCGAGAAATTCATCTTTTTAACCGATATGTGTTCATTTTGTTGACAAAAATGCGAACCAAAACCAAAACTTTTCTTTCGACTTGATATATTTTCAACGTTCAGAAGTGTACACATACTGATTTCCCCTTATTGTCTTATAATGTCATTGGTTTTCATGAGAAACCGGAGAATTTTTATAGGGAAAAGCGAAGCGTTGCCCTCGTTACTGGCCATTTGTTAACTTTTTTGGTGGTTTTATCTCTCGTCGGTTTGGTGACTACGCAAATATTAATATGTGAAAATCAGATTATATGAAGACTTGAAATTATATTAAGAACGATTGTGGCCGCTTTGTTGAAAATCAAATGCAATGGCCGCTTTGTTTAAAACAAAAAATATCAAAAAACGGGCAAGGAATATTTAATAGATAATTACTGCGGCAGTCAGCGTTATGAGATATATTGCAGCCAACTGAGGGCGTATTCTGCCTAATGACCTCTGCCCATCCCACCTCCAGCCCACACAAACTTTTTTCCAATTCCCATCACCACGAATGCACAAGTTTTCTTATCACACAACTGCCCAAAAATAAAAGAAAATTTATTCCAAAAGTCTTGAAAGTTCACATAAACCGAATTCAACTACACCGATATTCAGCAAGTCCAAGAAATCAATGCAAACCTAAGCCATAACATGAATGAGCTGGCTCTAAGAGCTTTTTGATTTTCATTACTTCAAAGTTTCGAGCTTCTCTCTTTCATTAAAAACCAAGACAAAAAACATTCATAGGCATTGTTTTTTTTATTGCTGTTGCGAGCTGCAGAGCCATTCAATGAAATTTGAGCACTGAAAGCTTCCTGAACGGGAGGTTTGTGGGGTGGGGGGTGGGGACATTTACAATAGGGGGGAGGTGGGGACACAATAGGGGCGAGGTAAACAAATTGTTGTGGATAACTCTAAAATGGTAATGTGTACCGACGGATTCCTACTTCCGCAAAGGCCTAGTACTTAATGACGAGTGAGAAGAGCCCCAGATATCAAGGGATGATTGTCGATTTCCTATCTGTTTCAAGACCTTGGAGAAATTAGCTGGCTGCAGGAAGATCAGGATTGGCACCAATTATAAATTCTTTCATCGAAAGATTGGTGGATAGAACTTGGTCCAACAGACTGTAAACAACTCTTATACAAATTTCTTACAAAGGAGCTCTCTCTTAAATATAGAGCTAATAAAGTGTTTTCACTTATCGTAGTTATTCGATTAAACGCCGCAGCGTTTATTAAAATTTTCGTGATTCAAGTGCGATGTTTATTCGAGGGCGGCGTTTATTTAAAATTCAATTTACTTTTTGCAAACAATAATATGGTAACTGACCATTTTAATTTTAAAAAAACAAAAACACGTTCTGGTGCTTGTCCTCAATTTCACAATCTGCGTTTTAATACTACTGCAATACTTAATGTGAAATAAAGTGAACATAGTTCACCCGGTTTCAATGTCTCTGTCCTCTTTATGATCCGAATCCAAAAGATATAATGACGGATGTGCTCTCTCAAAATCAGAACCGGTACATTCAAAGGGATTTGTGCCTTGCTTACTCAGAACTTGCAACTGCGATAGAAGCAATAATCGTTCACTGCCACAAGGCTGTCGTTCCTTGGGGCAGTGAATCATGTCGTCCACGGGAAGGTTCAACATGCAGCTCGAGAGAGTTTTTTTATTACTTTTGTGGGTAGCTCTGCTCAAGAATCAAGAATTCACTCCAAAATGGTACTTTTCGGGGATAATTTCAAATTTTCAGCAGCTGTTTCTTCGTGAATTCCCACGGTACCCAGCCAATCATTCCTTTTTAGTACAAGTGGCCTTCAACGGCTTGTTCCAAGAAACGTCCGGTGCCTGGCTATACTTGGTGGACCCTTCTAGCACTATTACTTGATCGATTTTTTTATTCCGACTGCAATACGTAAGCAATGCTATCTTCAGTTTTGCAGTCGAAGAAGTTCCAGGCTAACAGTAATCAACCACCTATCTGTATTTCATTGCCTTAGGGCCTGTTTACATGGATGTGGGGGACCCCAGGTAGGTGAGGTGACCCGCCAAACCGTGGGCTAAAAATAGCTAGCGTTTACATACAATCTTACAACCCCGGGATGCCAGGATGAAGTTTCTTGAGGTTGTTATCACACTTACAATTAAGGAGTTTAAGATGTCACTAGCACGTGTCGTAAAAACGTTGCAGAAAAAACGTAATTAATTTTCCTTTAAGATTTTGGCCAATAGCTCGATGGGTTAACCGTTTCTGACGATACAACGTCTTCACTTTGGCATAACATGTGAATGTAGTGTTAAGTTAAAAGTAAAAACGTGACTAAATCGCTGTCGAGGTTTTATTGCTAAGTGGATGTAAAAATTGATGTTTTAACGTTTTAGCTCTGCATGGGAGACCAAGAAATGTACAAAGTCTTAACACACTCATGTTTCGCTGTTGTTTTCCTTACTTGATCCTTTTGTAACATGAACGGCGCCCTGCGTGGGCGGGTTAACCGACCTTGAGACGTTTACATGGCAATGTTGCCCCCTTGCTGACAGGGTTACCCTACCCAGCAGACCGGGCAATCATGTAAACGTGATCAAGATGAAATAATAGATTATATAGACAGGCGGGTTACCCAGTGAGGCGGGATACTTCGCCTACCTGGGGCTCCCCATCTCCTTAAAAACAGGCCCTCAGTAGTCATCGGTCTGCTTTTTTTCAGTCTGTTATTCGAATAAGAGTCGCATCATGATGCGGCATTTATTCGGGGATGGCGTTTATTAATATTCTTGCTTTAAAATACGGTAGTTACTCGAGGGTGTTTCATCGAATATAACGTAAACCGACATCTCCGAACTCATATAAAGCTCATAAAAAATTGATCGATTCTAAAATAGAACAGGACAGTTGTAAATGCTTTTTGACCGTCTGGATGAGCAGTTTGGTGTAGAGTTAAACATGATTTATTTCTGTGTGATTTGTTGAGGACCGGCATCTTTCAGTGTACTAACCTCAATCAGCAAAATTGACCAGTTTGTGCGCACGTATACACTATAGAACATGAAGAAGCCTAGAACTTAATGTGTCACTGGCATAGCTTGTTGCTTGATTCAAACAGTATTACCAGTTAGAAATAAAAATAATGACAGGCTGCCTACACAATGCTATAGCTAAATGAGAACCAGTAGCATGATTTTGAAAGAAACCTTAGAAATGTCCTTTGTGGGTAACATAGTTTTCTAGGAAAGTTTCGGTCAATTTTTTTCGACTTATTTAAACACAAATATTTTATATTGTACAAAATTAGAATAGATGAAGTGATAGCTCAAGAAAACTCATCAAATATTTCAACTGATTGTATCAAAGCTGAACAGTGTCCTGATACAAATGTTTCCCATACTAATTATACGGAAGCTTGAACAGTTTAACTAAGGCTTCCTGAAAAACACACGATTGATATCCGAGAGATTCCAACTGTGTTCAAAGTAATCTAAGATCAATCTTAAAGTGATCGGTGTCATAGAAAGACAGCAATCAGCCTTCGAAAGAAGCACGCAAGATAAATACTTAGGACTTTGTTTGATTCTAATAGTACTTAGTTGGGAATACAGCAATCGCCAGTTGGTGCAATTCAAGCTAGTTCATTGAAGTGAGATAATTGCAGAAATGTGCCGTGGCTTTGCTGAAACTCTTATATCTCCATTGCTTGTCCATCGGGAATTGTTATTTACTTTATTTACTCAGCCTCAGATTTGTGTTAAGTTTGTCGAAATAAAGATTCAAACTGACAAGAGAGTGAGCTGTTAAGTATAACT